TTGTTTGTTTGGCATGGAATATTTAAAAGATTATAATCGTAACAGAGGCAAACTGCACCACATGAGTGGCGCGCTCTGGTGCGGTGGACTTCAGACTATTTGCTCACCCATTCAAATGACTGTGCACCAGTGCACAAAGCAAGGTCCATAAAGACACGGATGGCAGAGTCTGGTGTGGATGAACTTGACTGGCCTGCACAGAGTCCTGACCTCAAACATACTACAAAAAAAAAAAACAAGCTAGTGGACGTCGGGTGACGTCTGACTTTTYTTTTCCACATTGGACTTCCCCGGGAAGAAATCCTGTGCATACTGCCTGCTTAAATGTTCGCTACGTCAGAACTTATCGTGCGTTCACACCAAATATGATTTCAGCRTCAAAATCGCATCCAACGCTTCAAGTTGGACGCTTGCGGTCAGATGCAAGTCAAAACTGCTCTTGAAGCGTTTGATGYGCGTYGAGAGCCTCCCCGCCCCCTCTCTCCTCTGTCGGTCTCTGTTTAATRTCGGATGAAATAAAGGAAATGGCTATTTGCTTTATTTACTGAGTGCAAGAGTCGCGCTYATCAGATAATTAATTCATAATTAATTCACCAGATAATTCAGAGACGTTCTGAGTTTGGTGAGTTTCATCACCCAGGAGCTGCGAGCAGACTCGAGGCTCGGAACTATTTTTGTCCYGTCTAGTTTGATGAGCCGCTGACCCGCATCGGTGCAGATACTGTATCTGCTGCCAGGACACYGACTGCAGGCACTTGATTTCAGCTAAAGAGCTCCAGTCCATCTGTCYCAGGTTAGTGAACATCATTCTGTCCCGTCGGGAAATCTGTCACAGTGGAGTCTCTCTGATTGGTTGACGYRACGCGTCAAGCTGCAATAGTTCAGATTTTCCAACTCCAGCGTCCGACACTTCAAGCGCCTCGGACGCTCAAATTGCTCAAATCATTCAAATTGTGCCGCTCTAATCGTGCTTGACGTGACGCAGCACTTCCCGACGCTCGTCCACCATAGACTTTGCATGTAAACCTGAYGCTCAAAACGCGTTTGGTGTGAACGCACCATTATTYGGCAAATGTGTTTCCATCTCTGCTTTTGTGCATTTACTCTATTACAGGATGGGGGAAATTGGCCTTGGCGGAGGTTTGCACTCTCCAAGTGCTTCTAGTTCTATTTTATTCTATTCTATTCTAGATGTTTTCACACAGGTATTTGGTCTTAAACGGTCATTTCATCTAACTTGCATCATTGAGGTAGGAGTAAGCAGATACAGTCAAGTATTAATGACGATACCAACCTTGTGCACTTTATAGCTTGGAACTATGCATGTCTTCAGCTACTGAAGTCCAGCTGATTTGTCTTTTTTTCACAGCAAAATATGACACTAATTTTGTGTCAGACTTTATCGATACTAAAGTTATGGGATTGATACTTTACTTAGTTTCACTTTCAGCATGTCACTCCCATTCCAAAAATACTATGCCGCACTGTAGTAGCCAACAAGAGACAGGTTTTACATGAATACAGGATGAAACAAACACCAGCTAATTCTTTAACKGGTTCTGTTTGCACAACAAATTTAGAATTGATGCACACATGCTAACTTGTGTAGCATTCATACTTGTGTAAACTCACCATACGAAGTGTGAGGTCACGTCTGATAGTGGATGCATTTAAAATATGTGAACGTCCATGCAAAAAAATCAGATTTCAGCAAAGAAATCTGAATTGGACATTAAGACCTGCAGTGTAAATGGAGTCCTTATTTCTAACAAGGTTAACAGCCTAACTAAATGCCAATGATTTGCTTTTCAATGTTTTCTCTTAGTTTTCCATGTGGCTCCAGCCTCCTGTGGCACACATCCATCCCAGCAGTCAGTAAGCTCCATCCCCTGGCTATCAGCTCCCACGTCTGTCACCTCCCTCACCTCTTCCTGCCACCAGGATAAACACCAGAAGCTGAATGACAACCTCAAAGACTCCACCTTCCCCCCTCGTCATCCCACTTCCTCCTCACCTGACCGTCAGGTGTCTCTTTGCCATGGTGGCAACCTTGATAAGCCAAGGGGAAAGCGTCCTTTCAAAATGAACCACACAAGAGGGGATGCAGTAAAGGGAGAGGAGAGAGATGAGAAAGGAAGTGACAATGAGGAGGTAAGTGGGAAGTTGGGTTTTGTTTTGTTTTGTTTCTTAGACGTTTGAGTTTCCGAATGGAGTCCAGGGGTTCCCCCAGAAAATTTGCTAAGGCTGGTAGTGGCATTTATAATCTTGTGGGGTGTGGGGTAGGGTAACATGGTTGTATAGTAATGTTTTTAATAACAGGGCAGAGCAGTATAGTTTCCAATGCTGTGGTAGAGGAGTCCTTTGTTACTAATTCTAGGTCCTAGCCATTTATTCTGTTGTCTGAATTCCACTTGCGCTGGCTCTAAATAAACAAATGGCACTTAACCTGGCATCAAGACTAGTAAGTGCTGGCATATCACCAGAGTAATATTACACTGGAGGAAACCCTGGGAGTCTGARTGAAGCTGTTAGAATGAAACTGAGGTCGTCTGCGTATAATGAAACTGTCTCTACAAATCAGCATGATTCCTCTGAGCTGGAAGTTTGGAGGAATAATTTAATGTGGTTTTATTTGTTTACATGTTAATAACATAAGGTTTTTTCTATAAAAAAAAATTAATCTCATGCACCCACAATTGGAGATGGCTCATTTTTCTGTCTAGTCAAAGACAAACATACTAACTAAAGTGACACACAACCTCCTGGGGCTGAGGGTGGGAAGAAGGAATTAACCCAACACAAACTGGAGGGAAGTGCACCAACCTATCGTTTTCTGATTTAATTAAAGATATTAAATACTCAATGTAAACAGAAGATCGTTTTAATACTCATGCTTCATTCTGTTTTTCACCAATAACTAAATAAAATAATTGCTAGATGAGTCACTTGTCCTAAAACCTTCAAGATCCTAAGCAAAACAAGCCTGAGTCCAAAGACCAAGAAGACTAATTCAGGTTCAGATAAAAACAGCTTTTAAGAGAGGTAAAGTGAGTCCAAGCAGAAGGCAAAACAGATTCAAAAGACTGGTAAAACCACTGATCCACCAGACAAGTCTAAATCAGGATACCAACATACCATTCTAAAAATAAAATAACAAAACCAGATCAGGATATATATTAAATAGCCTGAACTTGTATAGCTTGTTATCAAGTTCCTATAGACTCCAAAGCATTTCACACTACAGACATTCATCCATTCACACACACATTCACACACTGATGATGGTAAGCTACATTGTAGCTACAGCTGCCCTGAGGCACACTGACAGAGGTGGGGCTGCCATGTACCGGCACCACTGGGCCATTTGACCACTACCATCAGGTAAGGTGGTTGAAGTGTTTTGCGCAAAAACACAACAACTGAGATGGATGGAACTGAGATCAAACCGGCAACCCACTGGTTAAAGGACAACTCCACTAACCACTCTGTTATGGCTGTCCCAACATAGCAACATTTACCAACATACCGGATAGAAAGAGTTCAGACCCTTTGAAATGGAGAGCTGGTTTTGAGGTGCTTCTGATTTAGTGAGGAAGTGCCTTGTGACATAACAATGGGAAACAAATTGTACCTAAATACTTAGTACCTAATAATTTACTTTAATCTGGTATTTAGAGGGTTTCTTTGTAGTATTAACTGGGTAATTAACTGGTACTTACCAAGTCAAGTTTAAAGCGAGTCAAAAATCAAGACTCCACAAAACCAGTCCAATGCCACATTTTTTGTGATTTAAGTAGAAGATGAGTTAAACTTGCAACATAATAATCAAGGTAAAATCAGGTCAAAATCACAGTTCAAAACATTTCATATCCAAAGTGAATCTTAGTCTAAATTGCCCCAAACCCATTTGGATAGTTCAAACACTCAAACCAGAAGTGGTCTAGCACCAAAAAAAATGCTTGTTTCAATACACTTTAAAGTTAAAAAGACAAAACAGACAACAACCTTTTTTAAATTACAAAACCCTTTAGAGTTTTTTGTTGTGAGGAAGTTCTAAACATTTTTTGAGGCTTTCTAAGGTTTAAATGATTCTTTTTCTACCAAACACACTCAGCTGTCTTCGTCTGACCCATTTGGCTCACCCGACCAGCTCCCCTCCTCTCAGACCACTCACTCCGCTCGGCCCATTCCTCCAGAGGTGCGTCGGCTCATCGTAAATAAAAATGCTGGAGAGACGTTGCTGCAGCGTGCCGCCCGACTGGGATACGAGGTAACCAGAAACAAACGCACATATTTTGTTTGGCTGCTGTCCTGAGAAGAGGGTTAATCTGAACTTTATGTATTTTGTTATGATGCAGATTCTAGCTTAATAAACTTATAATAAGAAGCAGATATGATGAGATTTTTTTTCTTCACTATGCACCCTTTTTGTGTGTACATGAAAAGGGTGCGGTTAGGGGTTAGGGTTAGTTTTACTGTACAGGGATAGGGTTAGGGTTAGTTAATTAACAGTTATTACTGTACATATATTTTGTTGTTATGAATGAAATGAATGGACAAATTGAAATCATAATTTCACAAGTAATTTTGTTTTGTCCTCTTAAAATCTCTCCTTCCTTGAACTTTAACCTGTTGCTCAAGATGGAAAACAAATGCTTCATTCACATCCTCATTGGCTTGATGAATAGTCCTCTTTGTTGACCGGTTTTACTAAAACATTCACACCTTCCTTTCATCCCAAACTAATATCAGTTAGAATAGAACCTCAATGTTATGTTTTATTGATTATAGCTGAAACTTAACAGACAACAGATACATCTGCTAGAAGTGTTTTATCTGATAAAACTGCAGCAAATTGCTAATTCTACTTTTCAAAGTTTGATCATTTTTCCTCAATACTATATACCGTATTTTTCGGACTATAAGCCGCGACTTTTTTCCTGAACTTTGAACCATGCGGCTTATAGACCGGTGCGGCTTATACGTGGATTTTTTTCTTCAGCCACCGGGGGGCTCTTATCCATTTGCTTCAACCACTCGCTTCAAAAAAAGAAGAAAAAAAAAAGAAAAAAGCGATCGCTTCCAGAGCCGAATGTTGTACCAGGAAGCAGCGATTTAGTCAATGGCCAAAAACTCATAAAAGGGGATAAAACAGACATTTTTCATGGTGGAATCTGACTGATAAAAACTTTAAGAGCTTAATCCAGGACCAGTTTGTGGATAAACGTCGAGTTAAGAGCCACAGACTTTTTTTTTCCTCATTGCACTCCCCGGGGAAGGAATCCCATGCAGTGACGTATGCTGGAGCGGGAGGGCTTTCCCACCACAGCTTTACACAACAACAGATACCGTTGTGTGACGCAGCTTTTTTCAGCTTGTTTAACTCCGAAACTGAAGAGGACTTCGATGTTGAATTCACTTTTTGACCACAATTTTGGGTGTACTGTTTTGTTTTTGTTTTTACTGATGGGGGGTGGGGGTGCGGCTAATATGTTGATGTTGGCGCGTGTTTTTTTTAAATGGCAGATGCGGCTTAT